CATGGTAACTCATTGACACGACGAGAGAGGTGTTTGACCTGCTTCGACTAGGCTGCAAAGTTCAGTCACACACACAGGTGGCCTCCAGTTTCCTTGGAAACCCAAAACACCCTGGGCATGTGGCCTCGTCTCAAAGAGCGGAGCCGCATGACCTGCAGATATCACGGCATTGTTTGAAATGGAGAGAGTGAGGGGAAGGTGTTATCGGCCAATAAGCCAGACTCAATCGAGATCCACTTGAGTCATATATTAGTCACAGTCATGTCCTCTCAGATTGCCCCCCCTGTTTTCGCCGAGCTCCATCCCTGCTGTTCCTGCAGCCAGGCACACTGGTATTTGCCATTCCATTAACATACCAAGTGAACAAATTATGCTCTCTGGGCTTGAGGTGGAGAAAATTACTCATAATGTGCCCTGCTCTTATGGTGGCCTTAATTAAAATGTCATAGGCCCAGACATCAGTCATAGCTCAAGCACCAGTTAGCACCTTGATTATGTCTTTCATTATTTTCAGTGCTGTTAAGATGCTAATTATATTGTAAATAATATGCAATTAAAACTTGGACATGGTGGTCAAAGTGAAGTTATGGCATGGCCTTTTTGCTGTTTGTTCTTTATCAGTCTTCCTCTATTAACAGTTGTGTTATTTGAAATATGTTCAGTTATAATGATCAAACAACTATCCACTTAAAATTTCACTGCTAGAGCAAATGTTGTCAGTGTGTGGTGTTGTGTTGGCCCTCAGGAAGCGCAGCAGTGACTGTATTCCCAGCCTGATTATACATGCATAACTCTGACTGTTGTTCCTGAATGGAAATTATCAGCTCAGCCACTGTATCATACTGTATTTGCTGATATTCCATCTTTTATCCCTGGCCCACATTACCCTGGCTCAACCTGTTGGGCTGTAGCACTCTCCTCCTAGCCTGCGGTCTATTTTAGTCCAAATCGGCAGGCTGAATAATTTATCCACGATCCTTTATATGCTGATGTGTTAATTATTAATTGTTCAGTGGGCTCTGGCAGCTCTAAGAAAACTGTTAAAAAAAGGGTTGGATGGGGCATGGTGTCTGAGAGAAAGGCACAGATTGCTTCCTCTCAGCGGATCCGCACACATCCTCACAGATGATGGCTGTGTGGGAAGATGAGAACACGCCAGCACATAAGCATCATTAAAAAAAATCAAGAGCATACGTGCATGTATGTAGTGTGTGCCCATATTTGATATGCATCTGTTCTGGATGAAAAATACAGCACTCATGTCAGAGCTACTGGACTAGATGAGTGCGGCCATTACACAAACTTTTAAGCCTGCCATTTATTGTCCAATTGTGAGCACACACAACGTTCCCAGCTCTGGCTCTGTTATTAGCAGTCAGCGCCTCCTCTGTTATGCAACATCTCAAGAGAAGAGTGAGACGAACACTACAAAACTTGATGGAAGATGAAATTGGAGCATTCGGTTGTCCTGAAATCCTGCTGTTGTTTCCCTAACAGTGGAGTGGTTCCAGTTGTACAGCTCGTTTGAGTGGTTACATGTCCTCTCTGAACACAAAGCACGGATGTACCTTATATAACAACCAGGACCGTCTATTGTTTCTCAAATCAGAGGCGGATTATATCATGCAGCTGGGGAGTGTCTGGAGAAAGAACTTGTCTCATTCAAGATTTCCTGATAAGAATTCTATAATGACATCCGTAATAAAAAAAACATGGCCTTTCCTTTTTTTTTTCAATCTATCCACTCCTTTCATTTTGTTTTTCTGGCAGCTGTTCATAGCTGTTTGGCTTTTATTCTGATTGGCGCTAGAAAAGGGAACATAGTTTTACCATAGACTTTGTTTTCACACATTGACATTTTACTTGTGGGAATTCAAACCAATAGGTGGCAAAGAAGTTGCTTTTGTTTTGAACTCTTAATCATGTTTTTTGCATCACCATTTATTTGTACCACGTTAGTGGTCAGGGTAAGGGTTGTGGTTAGGTTCGGTCTTCAGGAAATGAATGTGAGCCATTGTCAAGTTCCCAAAAGTGAAAAACTTTTAATCCAGTGAAGGACTTTGCTGCATATTTGGATGAATGGTGCTACACAAATAAAGTTGTCTTGAGTTACCCTGTAGCCATGTCCCCAACTGAGGAGCTGCCTCCTTCAGACGACACTTTATGCAGCCCACGAAGCAGGCAGCCCCATGGTCTTTTTGACATGTGTTTTCGTGAGCTGTTTGGTTGAGTTGAGGCATTATCTTTTTGCACAATATTTTTTCAACACAGCAATGAATCCTGGGATAGGTTGGCTCAAGAAGGATCCACCCATTGGAGCTTTCGTTTCTCTGGGGTTGGAAGGACACATTTGCATGTGTTGGACAGTAGCAGGAAACAGCAGGAGAGAGGAGACGGGAGGGATAGAGGGGGAGAGGCAGATGGTAAAGGTCATCGGCTGGACTCCAATTGGGGACATCTCAGGTATATGTCTTGGACATCTGGGTAACCAAGGCTGATG